AACAAATTGTACATTAATTTTGAAAGATGAAACTTTATTATCCTATTGTTGGAATGGATTTTTAAGAAAGAAAATATTATAAAACTACAATCACTATGCATATCTACGCTTTACTAGTCATATTTTTATTGTACAGTAATGCAATGCTGTAAACAAGGAATTGCAGTCTTTTGAGCAATTAATGTAATACTTTTGAACATCTAGAGTATTCTTGGTATTTTGTACATAGGGAAACAACTGTTAAGTGTGATTTCACTTTATTGTTGGCAATAAAACTGATCATCTGCATATAGGGAGGTGAAGGTTTTTTGTAGGTTTGCACCTTAAACCTTGCTTCTAATGTTGAATATTTATGAATTTTCTAAGTGAATCATAGATCACTTGCTTTTATTACTGTCTAATAAAACTGTATAAGCTTCTTTCACACACAACGATATTATCAATCGAGACTGACCACGCGATTGCTGGTATCGATCCACCTATTTTTTTTTCTTTTCATTTTTTTTTGTAAGTATTTTAGTATTTTATCGGTTTTCGCGATTGGACAACTATAATTATTAATAAATTTGAAATCCGTTGATCGATTAATCAGGGTGCAACTATGATGGCCATGAAGGCTAGTATAGCTAACACTTTGTTGGGCCTGAAGAAGGCTGGAAGTACAAGTTGCTTGGCCCCACCGGCTTCCGGTACCGGTCTGGCATCTAGAAGTCTTCCCCCAAGTCCCTGTGCATCCCGCAAGGTAGAATTTAATAACACAAACTCGTTCAGTTGGAATGGAGAAGGATCAGATTAATTAGCACATTATCTGAATGAAAGATGATGTAAATTATTAACGATTACGAAGCTTCAATTGATTCGTGCATTTATCAAGTGAATATACAATTTTGCACCTTCTCTGCTCTATTTCTGTTCTATCGTCCTTATTCATTGTACCAACAACAATTTGTAACGGACAATATACATGCTTATGAATTTTAAGGTATTGATTGTATTTTTTTCGAAGCTTGAAGCTTTTTCATATGCAATGTGTTCTTGAAATTCTGTACAAGCTTTCTTTTCTCTTCTTCTTTACTATCGCAAAAACGATCATACTACTTTTATTCTGTTGCTCACGGCACTAATTATTGTTATTTCGGATAACAGACACGCAGATGCACACTGAGGCCGCCACGCTTATTATATACATAAGATATATTGTATTATATTGACACTATACGTATGTGTGTGTGTGTGTGTGTGTGTGTATACCTATTGCAACTTCTCATAGTACGATAAACGATGCTTTGATTGCGTTACTTTTCTTTAATACTCTTTACTGTCACACAATCAGTCGAGGTAGGTGCATCATTCTCTAGGGTTCTCAAGACTCTAGAAAAAAAAAAAACTATTAACTAAACTATCATTCTCACACGGACGACATTCTCACGAAAATTATTGAAACATTTAGAATTCATTGGTCGGAGGCTTGGGTATTAGTCCTGATCTGTTGGAGGGTGCTGAGCCTAGCGTGGCAGCACCTCTAGTAGCTGGAGATTTGGACGATGGTCTAATGTCTAGGGCTAAAGATACCGGCAAGTTTTTATACAAATATTTGGAGCCACAGGAACGCGTTGAAAAAATCAATGCTATGGTAAACGGAGCACAAATAAATATATCCTTTGTTAGTATAATATCTGCATATACTCTGATTAATCGTTGAATTTTTTTTCTTTTATATAGATGGGGAAGTTGAAAACTGCTCTCGACGGGGAAACTACCTCAAGATTAGAATTATCGCAGAGTGGAGAAATGGATAGTATTAAGTTGATCGCACAAAGCGATTTGCGAGTGCAAGCATTGAGTGTCTTACTTTTGCATTATTGTGCTGGCTTGCAGCACGCGCAAGAAGCGCTAGATCGGTCTAAGAACAAGAAAGAGTCTTAACGGATCTACATTTACTACGGGAAACCCCAAGGAATCTTAACGATTTATCATTCCAGAAAACCCCATAGGTTCATTCTACTTCGATTATATACTATAGCGATTGATTCGAATTAATTATATAATTCTATTCGATAAAGTCTGTGTCATACAGTATACCTACGATTGTACGTATTATATACGCGCTTTTAAAAGAAAAAAAAAACAGAATTTTCTCTCTTTAAACGTGTTAATAGGCCTGAAGATAAAAAAAATACTCGTAAAAATTGTACCGTGATACCAGAATTCATAGTTTACCAGAGAACACCAAATATTAAGACTTGTATTTACAGATTCTATGTATACTCGTAGAGAACAGAGTACAACGTATACCAGATGTGTTTTACGCCTAGAGTATTTTCATTGGTTTGCGGTAAATAGTTGCGCTGTATAGAGCGGTTAGGATACATAACAGAATACGGGGTAAACATAGTGTCTTGAGTTTTTAAGCGTAAGGTAATGGGCAATTAGGTACTTAATCATAGTATTCGATTATGAATAGTTTCCTGAATAATACAAGATATTACTCTCTTTGATATCAATGTAACGTTTCGAACCTCGATTATCCGACTCAAACTACAGAGGTGAATCTTTCCTTTTCTTTTTACCGAATCGCGTTTTAGTGACGGTAAACCAGACTGCAACGAAACGCATGAATTGCGCGACTCTGATTTATCAATGCATAAGCATGAATGAATTACACGATACAATAGTATTCCATCCATATAGATAACACGAACGTGTCAAGGTATCGAATGCATAATCATCGTAACTTAACGAGATATTACGATTCATTGTTAAAAATTGTAAAATAAATATACATATATAACAAAAACAACAAGAAAAACAAAAAAAAAAAATACTACAGATTGTTAAAAACGAGTGTTCAGTGATAATTTGTATCGGTGAAACTAAAATGTAAGACTAACAAAAGACAAACAATGTTTCTCTTGAACGATTCGTTGTCTTTCTTCAAAGCGTACCGCTGTTCCAAGTGATGTTTTCACATATCGAAAATCTCTCATTCTTGTTCAAGGCGAGAAACATGCGCGTTTAACGAGACGAAATCGGGTCTATAGCTGTTTGCGAGGTCTCATGATACGCGGAACATTCAAGATTCTTGGTAAATATGAAAATACTCGAAAAACGGAGACGCAGTAACCAGCGAGAGCGCACAAAGAATCTACGTCAGAGTCAAAGATTTTATAGGGCCAATGTTCGCGGACGAACGAACACGTTTTGCGAAAGTTCTTCGCTCGCTACTTGCTACCAGAGAAAAAAGAAAGAAAAAACCCCTGTGTAATATCACGAAACTGCGATCTGCATCGTAAAAAGAGGAAAAATAGCCTGCGATGTAAAAAAAAAAATTCTCCAAAGTGACTCGTCGTATATCTCTCTTATTCACTTTATTAGCGAATCGAGAAAAAGTTTCCATACTTTTACCGCATCTCTCCTGCGACTCTCTTTCCGTGCGCGCGACTTTCGAACGTTCGGAAAAGTTTGTTGCGCGGGGATTATTCGTGGAACACGATGTTTCTTTCTGTCACCCGTTGGCAGATCACAGTTGGCGTAAACTCAGATCCCCGACCGGATATAAAATTGCGCATCGTTTTGGAAATCCGCGTAGTCATCGAATTTTCACAAACACAATGTATATGTATATGTACGTCGATTTTTTTTTCCACATTGCTTTCTGTGTGTGTTGTTTTTCCTCGCGGTTTTGAAAGATCGATCAAGGAAGGGCGGTAGGTCCTTGCAGTAGACTCGTTGGCGACTGGAAAACCATGAACATCACATAGAGAAAATAAGAGGAGGAAGAGGGGAGAATACACGTGCACGGAGCGCGTGCATCGGTCTCTCGCGCGATGCAGCGCAGCTTTTATCTCGCGTCAGTTCATGCGAGAGTCAATACGAACAAGACGACAGAGAAGTCATGGGGGATTTTGGCCCGCGAATCTATTCTCGTCTGTGAAATGCACGCGCAGTATCCTCTGGCCACGTGCCAAACATACCGAAGAATCGTATAAACATTTTATCCCTGTTGGGCACTGGTCTCTACGATGAATGGAGAGCAAAGTCCTCCGTCGTTCGAGAAGAAAAGACGCGATCGATTCTCCTTCGAGTATCCTCTTAGTGTTCAATCGAGTTTCTATCCCTTTGATTATATACTCAAGATTACCCGTAGATTGGACAGTTTTTTTATTCTTCCTCTCTTCCATCCGCTACTTGCTTTCTTTCTCTCTTATTACATTTACGTAGGAATTTTTGATATATATATATGTAATTGATAAAGGTGAATCACGAAGATTTTCCACTTTTTTCAAAATGCCCGATAGTAATCGAACGAAACGAGAGGTTCGCTCGTCAGAGAGAAAGGCGCAGAAACATGTTGTTTAATGTGGCGAAACGTATCTACACGCTCTTTCGATACCCGCGAACGTCGGCCAAAACTGAACACGCCAGTTCGGTATTTTCTTTTGTCCGAAAAGTGCCCTGGCAATTTTGGCCAGCTCTTCCAGATGCTCGTACATTATCTCTTTGTGCTTGTTTATTATCGTCCGCTTGTTAACTAACCACGCCGTCTCTCTTTTCTTAAAACTAGCCACTCGAAACGACAAGCTCAAACGCACTTTATACTTCACGACAATTTTTATCAAGCACCGACCATTGTTCAACCGACATTTCTTGTAGAACATCGAGACACTTCTTTTCTTTGTGTTCTTTTTTACAATAACGAAGATATACACAACAACAAGATCGATTTATCTTTTTTATATACAACCCGTTCCAAAGAACTCACACTCGAGAGGAATCTTCGAGTTCGTCGAACGAGATCGGTAAGAAACCGCGTGTACATTTCCATTCGGTGAGTGTAACGTGCACAAGTCCACTGTTTATCGCGTTGTTTGCGGAAACAAAAAAGAAAGAAAAGGATAGGAAACGCGATTGGCGTCACTGGAAATTGGAAATGTCCTCGTGGATGATGATCTGAATGGCAATAACGAGCGTCGCGATGGCGCAGTAGGCATCGTGCCGAACAGAAACACGGTTCGTCGTATTTCCGACCTTGGTTTTGGACGATGCTTTCGTTGCATATATCGGGAATAATGGTAAGTACGAGAAACGAACAAAAGCCTCGAGGGGGAGAAACCGGAAGCCACATGAACAACGTTCGAATGCGTTGAACAATTTTTAGCCAAACTGTTTTCGCTTCCTCGTCCTTACCGCGTGAGCTGCGCCGCTAATTACACGTTTATGTAACGAAACGATCGAATATATACACACACACACACACACACATATATATATAGAATATGAAAAGAGAGAGAGAGAGAGAAACAATAAGATATACAAGGAACAGCGACAATTGAGGAATCGTTCATACAACCGGTTGTATAATAATTTCTTAATCCATTGTATAATTTCTTTCAGCTAATCTCTCTACAATCGAAACGCTTCCTTTAATACTTCATACACGTGTATGGGAAATTTCGCTTTTGTAGTTTTTGCATTGCATAAGCGTAATGGATAAGCTTTGAAATGAAAAATCGAATCTACGATCCACGGATATTCTTCATACCGTATCATGAATTATAGATGAAAGAAACTTCGAATTAATTTGACAGAAAGAGAGAGAGAGAGAGAGAGAGAGAGAGAGAGAGAGAGAGAGAGAGAGAAGAGCTGTAGTCGAAAGAGAAACATAAAACACTATTTGGAAGCTCGTAAATTCGTGCCACAGGCAGCAGGAAGTTCGCCGGGCGTCACGTAAACATCGCTGAAGTCGCTTTCCAAATTTCCACGCACGATCTATCTGGATCAAAAGAGCCTCATCTCGATAGTACGTGCAATTAGATGATTCACACCGTTCCGCGAGAACTTTTGCATCGCGTATTACGCTTCTAACAGCGCGCCTATCCCTTTCTGTTTCCTTTAAAACTTCACGTTTCAATCTTCGTAGCAGCGTTTACCGAAGGTCTTCGAGTAAGTCGCATTTATCTGACTATTTCTGTACATTCAAGAAACATTCAATGTCACTATTAACGTAGTTCGACTCTGTTACGGATCCGTGAACGCGGAAAAGCTTGTCGTCACCTATGTTTCGATCTACCTAAAAGTTACTTCAATCCATGATCTCTGTTTCTTCGTCTCCGCGTCTCGTCGACGTGTTACAGAAACGTCAACGAGCGGTCCCTGAAACGAGACGTCGTGTCTACTAGTTGGAAAACCTTGAACGATGGCATTCGCGAAAAGTCAAACTCCAATTTCGACAGGTTGCAGTACACCTGGCCGTTGCATATGAGTAGAGTGGTACGTACGGTTGTTTTCAAACAAAGAGAGGGAGTCGAAACAAAGTAGTCAGCTGATCCGAGATGCATCTCTGGTGGGAGACCAGCAACGAGGGCTTAAATAGCACCGCGTCGAGTTCTGCACTTCAGTGCCAGGCAGCGTCACCTGAAACGCTCTCGTTTCGTTACACACGTTCCCCCCTCTCTTCGAGCGTGGATAAAAAAGCAGAAATCGCGGGAATCTCGCGGGATTGTTGTTTCCTTTTTTTTTTTGTGAAAGATCGAGCACGACAGATCGTTTCAATAAAACACGGTTCGTCGATCGATGTTCTAAGGAAAGTCGATGCTATTTTCTTCTGCTTCTTCTTCTTCACGAACGACTTCTCAGCAAACGACAACAACGACGCTGAAGATTCGCCTTGGACGCGATCGTTACACGCGAAGAGTACATCGTCTCGTCGACAAAGTAGTAGTGCGTTTCAACTGTGCGTTTCAAGCTACGGCTGAGTCTCCGAAACATGATCGTTTCTTGATGTCGAAGCAAGTAGTGAAGAGAATTGACGAGGGTGCTATCGATATTACTAAAGGGAAATCGTAAAAGCGTGTACTCTGGGATCCACTGTGCAACAAGTTCGACAGCGATTAAAGCCTAGCCAGCTTGGAGGAAATATATACCAGTGACCGTAGAACTTCGATCCTTTGTTTTTTTTTTTCGTTTTTTTCTTTCTCTTACCGATACCTGAACCCAACGATTTGATATCCACGTACGACGCGCTTAATCAACCAGACGAAGATGAAACCACCCGCGTACAATGGCGAAGAAGTGCAACAGATTTCTCCGGAACAAGGAGAGAGGAACGTGGCTATGGCTGTTTGCGTGCAGTTGGCGGGCCGGGCGATAATCAGGGTAGTTTCCCGGTGCGAAGAGGCGCAGGACAATTGTAATCTAGGTAGGTCAGACCTATCATCCTATAATTTTCTATCATTAATCGCGTTCTGGTCTGTTTGGTCCCGTAACATCGATCGACTTTTGCTTCGCTGGCTGTTGCATTGAATATTTTATTATTGAAAAATAATCGACGAGAAACTGGCTCAACATTTTTCAACATCTTTCTGAAAGAGAAACGAACGATCAGTTTTCAACATAATTTTTACTTTTTTTTTTAGTAAAAGTAAAATAAGTTGTAATATGTTTTCCTTTTTTTAACCAACTTGAGGTGATTCGATAAACCAGATAGAATCGGTTAACGAAACGTAATTGTTTCCTTCGCGTTTTATACTTTCTACGCTACGATATCTTTCCGCCTTTGAGGTATTACACTTTCGCTCGGCTGAGGATTTCATTCGTGGAAAGAAACGAACCATTCCTCCAGTAACATTTACTATGATTTCTACAATCCTCCGAAGATCAACCTTCGTTTTCGTCAACACATCTATGTATATACGACAAAGGCGAAACAATCTATCCAGTGGACTGCGTAGGAACTTTTACTCATTGATACAACGATAAAGTCGCAGATAAGATATCGGACAATGCTAAAATTGCATACGTTTCGTAGGAAAGCGTCGACTCGGCTTAATCGTGATTTCGTCACATTGTTCGATCAAACCCGATCGAATCCGATTATTTCTTAATCAATTGTGACAAAACTTTTCCAACTGTAACAAAAAACAGAAAAAGAAGAAACTATATATGTACATACACACGAGGTTGTATCGAGGAAAACCGCAAATCTTACGCGGGCCGTTTAGGCTTCGTAACGCATGGTCTGACCCCCTACTGGTATAATCCACTTAGAACACTATGCTCGCCGGTAACGTAATTCTCGGCTCCCCCTTATCACGCTCTAGCATCGCGAATAATTTTGTAACGAGTGAAAAATTTGTGAAAGTAACCTGGTATTCCAGTAGAGATATAATACAAACTACATTGTCCATAAAGTATGTAGGTGATACAAGCAATTTGTTTCTATCATAGAGAGATCCCTCCCGCCTTCTTGTCTACAGGGTAGGTGTTGATATCGATCAGGCTAGAAGAACGGTGAAACAATGTAAATTAATAGACACGTGTTGTTGTCACGACCTTAGAATTCGTTCAGTTAGAGGACTAATAATGTTGGCAACGCGATACGCGTTTCTAACCGGCCTTGATTCCTGATTCGACCGACCCGTAATGAGCTCGACTTTCAAACTACCGTGACAAATTAGTTGTATATGCGTTGTTGCAATGGGGGACAACTTGAAAGACGTTCCAAGAGGATCGATCGACATCGCTAAAATCCGAATGGTTACTTCATGAGCACCGTGTAGATCGCTCGCGACACGTTTCCTGATTCAACCTGGAAGAAAGAACGAGTCTCAAGTCCTTGCCTTATCCGTACACCCGGATAGATTTGAGACCTTTCTCAATGCCGCTTCTTCCAGCTCCGCTTCTCGCCAACGATCCTCGATCTGTATCGCGGCGGTGCTTTACCAACAGCCTATGCGCCAAGGATCCGCGCAGACCTTCCTATAAATCATTTATTCTCTAATTACTCTGTTCCACAACTTTCAGCTGGCATTTTTTCAAGCGTGCCAACACGGTTAAAAATACGATTGTCGAGTCAAGTCAAAAGTAAACAGGAGATTTCTAATCGGTAACTGGCGAAAGTCTCGAAGCGGAGAAAACGAGAGCGAGAGGCACTTGCCAGCTACGCTCAAAGGAGTTACTCTACACGCGTGTCTCTGTAATAACACTTGTTAGCGATCCTCGAGAAGAAATGTCTTTTGCAATATCAATCATTCTTTTTCATCGAAAGTTTCGTGCCAACGATCGATAGCAGTACAATGTTACAGTGTAGTAACCAAGGAATTTCTTTGTCAATCGAAAGGGTTGATTACCTTTCAGTTGTACGATAACATTTATAGATCGATCCTTTCTTCTTTTCTTTCGCTTTAAGTTTGAAGTAAAAGAAAAGAAATTTCTTCGAAGTAGTTTCGTATATAACGTTACTATTGGGAAGTAAAATAGAAGTGTTATAACATAGTAACAGGTTAGGTGATAGGCGATATCTAATGGCAGTGCGAAGCGTTAGACAGACACACGTAACAGGTGGTGGTGTTCCTCACCGCGGTAGCGGTCTGTGCATCAATTGGAATAAAAGTGAAATGCTCGCTCGGGGTTCTAGCATAGATAATTGGCTGGATAAACATTGCGTTGCACAACTCTAGTATCCGGTCTTTGTTCCTTAGGCTGTTGTTCATGCATTGATCCGAGCACGCGGCGCGTAAGCATGCGTTGTTTTTGTGAACGTAGCTTAAAGCGCGGCGATTGCATCGTGCAAGGTGCAATTTAAGCGTTAGCGCGCAAATTTTACAATCCACGGTGATTATATGTGAATTACAGAAAACCAAGGAAAATGTGCGTTTGATGGAAGAATTGCTATGCTTTCTAAATAATTTAGAAACTTTTTTTTTCCCACCAGAACATAGATAAACGCATGAAATTTTCCTTAATGAGAAATTTGCGAATCTATATATAAATATTTAAAGTTCTATTTTAAGAACTGGAACGGTTTTAAAAGTGTACCGATATTATAGTACATAATATCGATGCGTCAACCGTGAGTCAACAGTCAGTCAACAGGAAAGATCTGTTGCACGTTTTGGAGGCATCCGTGTGCACGAAAGGTCAATCTCGGAATAGTGAACCGCTACGAGGCCTTGGCAAAGTAAATGCACGCGCTTTGCATGCCGCACGAGAGCCGTTCCTTCTTCCTGATCCTTCTTTTTACATATACTCGTGACAAAGTGTTAATGAACTACAAAGTAGTTGCGTCATCCCATTATTCGTTCCATTGTTTTTCAATGCATTCTCATTCGACTCCCTGTTTGCATAAAAATTTTCTATCTTTCTTCGTTGAAAATTCCCTTAAAACGGTTCAAGCATTCTGTTGCATGCATACATGCATATAAGAAATCGAACTCACCGATACATTCGATACGTGGCTATCTAACTTCTTCTGGTGTTATTTGTCCGGATTGTAAAACGGGAAACTTGTGTTTGAATAAATGAGTCAGCCTGCAGTTTTATCGTTCAACCTGAACCTTGTTCTGTAAAAAATATTTCCGTTAGTGTGCGTATTATAAATGCCTAATATATAGACGTGATTGGAAGAAAAATGTATCGAATGAGAAAATTGTTAATTTTTATTTAAAAACAAGAAATTATTTTCTACGGACATAACACCGACATGGCTGTGTGTTTTCGTAGCCACGAGGTAAAATGCGAGTGTATGCACCCCAGTGCTACATGAATACAGGTACGCTTGGCGCCACCATGTATGGAAACGTAACCTTAAATGGTAGCTTGCCACCAAAGCCATTTACTACTTTGTAGCAAAAAGTCATCGTCACTGTCAATACAAACAGTAAAACATAGTCGGGTAGTTCACCCAGCTAATAACATTGGAATTCTTTTACTTGAACGTGCCATAAAAAGAACTATTAAAAATTTGTAACACAAGAGTGCTCGGTAGAGAAAAAGTATGCTTTCTTTGCTTTCGAAGTTTTCAAATGCTTCGTACGGTATCTATTGTTCAGATGAAAAATAACGTATAATTTTTTACCTCGTGTTGTATAGTGAATCATATACGGTCCGTAATTGTTTCAGTAATAAAATTAGTCATATTCAATTATACACAAGCCTCATTAACAATAAAAAATACAAAATATCACTTGATTCAAATCGGAGGAAAGCGCGACGAAGTTAAAGCTAAATGCGCAGGCGCTGGAAAAATGGCGACAAGAATTTCTAGCGCGATATCAAACAAGCGAGTGTCCCGCATCTATTTTCACACCGCTGAAACGCTTTTGAAACACTTTCTCGATTCATCGAAATTCAAATTGCAAATTAATAGGTCTAATTATTTATTAAAGAGATACGATCATTCGAACCATGAAAACGTTCTCTATATTTCGAAAGTATTATTATCGTGGATTTTCTACGTTGTTGCTATCGAACGACGAATTTCCGGAAAGTAGAATGACTGCCAAGGCCATCGAACGAAAATTATTTATTTTTGAAATCCGTCGAAAATAAATATTTCGTAGTACAGTGATGAAACGCGTTAGATTCGAGGACTAGTCATGAATCAGTTTGCCTCGGCAAGATGGCGAACGCCGTCACGAGAGTGGTGTTGCGTTGCGAAGAAGCACAAGAGAATAAGAATCTTGGTAAATTGTTGTTCGAAATATACCTGAGAAATTACTTCGATAGACCGTCAGAATTTCAATTTCGGAGAAATTCAGCCTTTACTCTGTTTAAATTAGCTGTTTTAACTGTGCATACTTTATTTTAGTCCATGACCTACTTTCTGCTGCTACAGGTGCATCGCGGGTTTTATAAAAAATTCTGTACATTTTGTTAGACTTTACAGATTTTTGATACTGTGTTTATCTGATAAAAAGAAAGTGGTGTGATATAAAATTTGGCGATTTTGCAACAGTGCTCGAATAGAATGAAAACTTCTATTGTTATCTGCGCGTAATATTGATACACTGACCTAGTTCGACAGCTGATCTATCAAGCACACAGTACAACGGACATAATATTATCGTCGTGCTCCAATTGTAACAACCGAACGTACCACTATTTTTTGTGACGTGTCGTCTAAATTTGTATAGTAACATATTCACGAAAGGTGTAGACACCACTTTTATCTTTAACGAGTGTTAAAGTGTTTAATTGCTCCGATATATAATTACGCGTAAAATGTTTATTACGCATCGAAAAAGTAATTATGTAAGACTTTCTAATTTTATCGTTTTCTTCCGTCATTTTTTTTTCAGATCTATCAGAATGCCAATTGATGCAGGTACCTGATGCAGTTTATCACTTAATGAGACACACAGAATTAAAGAGATGTGATCTCTCTGGGAATGTGATAACAAAACTTCCTCCCAAGTTTGCAGTCAAGTTCTCATTGATCACTGGTAAGTCAAACACCACACACATTTAATTAAAGTTTTTTTAGTGTGTTAATTTGTTTTTGTTAATCTCATTTTTTTGTTTTCTTTAAAATAATTTTTGAAATTTTTCTTTTTTTTCTTTATCTACGCTGAAGGATATCATTATACCACAAATTCAAACGCGTAATCGTTTCTAGAATTGAACCTGAGTCACAATCAAATGAGTAAACTACCAGAGGAACTTTCTGAATTGCAAGCTCTAGAAAGGTTGGACATTTCTCATAATACTTTCATTGCTTTGCCACCTGTTACATGTCGGATACCGCAACTGAAGCGGCTTCTTGCCAACAATAATTCGATCATTGGTAAATGTTGCACGGTTTGCGTTATATAAGGGATAGTCCTATCACGGATATCGTACAGTCTAAATGCATTTATTTTACAGATATAGATGTCGAAAGACTCAGGCACGCACCAATGCTGGAATTTATTGATCTTCAAGCGAATCCCCTGACGCCTAGGATGTACGATATTCTGAACACTTTGACTCGAATTAGAGTCGAATTGACGCCTAGGCAAGTCGAAGATTGGGAGGATCTTACTATTTGAAGCGAAACCATAGCTCAAAGAAAATAATCAAATCTGCCAAAGCGGCTGATAAGCGTCGAATAATCGTTCCACGTGGACGTAGTTTGCTTCCATTATTCTTGACTGAGATTGTTCGAAGATTCGCAAACAAATCGTTGCGCGAATTAAGAACAGACGCAAGTATTTTGTACAGTGACAAAAAAACGCATACAACTGACTGATAACAGGCGTGGCAGTGAGCGGCAACAATCATCGAGAAATGCAACTATTATCAGTTGACGTTTCTGACGATCTGTACTTAATGGATAGACTTGCCGCGTACCTGGATCTTTCTTCATTGATCTCGTGAATAGCGATCAATTGTCACTTCTTTTACTCTCGTTTTGTACTGTGTGGATTTGTTTTAGATTTTATTTAATCGCTCGCTCGTTTTGGCCGCGCAACGCTGTGATCCGTGTACGAGTAATATCACGAGCTGCCGATCCAATTTACTACCACATTTTTACTAACTCCAAATAAGTTTCCTGTAAATTTAAGATATGATCTATTCTTTTTTATGCGTGGACTTGACATATTGTAACATATATCGTGTAACAAATCGTAACGACTGCCAATCTATATAGGCGATCGACTGCTGACATCTTCGCCATAATCGAACATTATTTTTGATTTTATAAAACTTGCAGACAAAAAAAAAGAATAAAATGCGTAATTATAAAGGTATACCGAATTAATACGTAAGGAATTCACAACAATTCTCCTCTGTTCAGATACGTGTCGCATAATAAACTTGCAAGAATTTTGCAAGACAGTTTGTATTTAATTTATATAAACAATATGTGTTAATTAAAATGTATTATGTATTAATTGTAATGTAGCTCTGTGTACATGCACAACAGGTATCAGAATGTATTGCTCTGTATTTCTGATCTAGTCAATTGTCCGCGAAATATTACAATACACTTTAAGAAACACACTCCCTTTTTTATTTCCACCAATTCACATCCTCTTTAAGTTGCTCGAAGAAGAAAAAAAAAAAGAACTATCGTGTATCTGGAGGAATGATAGATGGATTCGCACTCGCAGTCACAAAAAAAAATACGCTCAACCACGTTGTATTGGTTTAGTAGCTATATTTTTTCAATATTAATAATAATAATTAAACGTATAATGAGTCACGGAGTTAATTATCTACAATACTTGTTCATGGATATAAAATCACAAAATATACATAGAATGGACGCAGTTTAATGTTTAAAAATTAAGGTAGACATATGGATCTCGTTCCTTTTTTTTCTTTCTATCGTTATCTAATGATTTTCTCTTTTCACTTTCACAAAGTGATACAGCCTATCAGGCGATCGATGTTCGAGCAAAAAGTGTCTTTTGTTCGACTTCTCGCTGAAATCGATTATCGCCAAGCGAAAATACTGTCGATTCTCGCAACATCTGAAACTTCTCACTATCTCTCTCTCTCTCTCTCTCTCTCTTTCGTTCTCACGACTAACGATAAATTAAAAAAAAATCTCGCGAAGACGCGTGCCGCTGAGCGTATTATCGACTGCTATCAAAACGCAGGCGAAACTTACAATAAAATCGGGGGCAGGGGCGATTAGAAATTATAGCGAACGAACTGGTAGCAGCTGCGGCAGTTTACTTGCGCACTTTTTATATACCGATGCTACACTTTTAATGAGTGATTATACTTTTATATATATATACATATACATATTTTTTTAATACGCGGGCATATGTACGACTACACGATCTTCGATACATCGCAATCGAATCTAGGACGAATCTAGGCTTTGTAACAGCGAAGCTAACAGTTCCTTCCAAAGATGCCGAAATAGAGGCGTTCCTTTGATCAAAAGAACCAAAACAAATAGAGAAATTAAAGAGAAAAGAAAAAGTTAACGCCACCACTTCGTACTTGATTTACCTGCAGTAGAAACAAATTCATCGCTTCGCAAGATACACATCGAATCTGGCACTCACACACGTACCACTCATTTCGTTCTTCCTCCCATATCCCTTGCAATATGTACAGAAATATATCCTAACTAAATTCACATTCAGACGATATCGTAAAACAAAAACTTAGCCGACCAATCTTCGGAATCTACTTGCTGTACAAGAGCACCACCTAATCACCTTCCTCTTGCATTTAAAATAGACGAACGACGTCGATCGATGAACTTATATAATAGAAGACGAGAAACGACCTCGAAAAATGAACTGTAAAGTAGCGACGTCACCTTTCTATCATCGACAAAGGCAAGAAACAGATATATGTATATATATGTCGATATATTGAAACAAACAATGAGTTTCACCTTCATTATTTGTATACATACGTGTACATATATACGACTAAGGGAGAATGAAAATTTATAAGCACTAAAACTGATCGGTTTCTTGATCTTCGACAGAGATAGCGTGAATCCGTCCGTGAGTTGCCTTCTTTACAATCAAATCGATAAAAAAAAAAGTACATAAAAACTCGTGCAGTTACAACAATCGCAATTTTCATCCGTGATGTGTAGGCGGAGCACATGTTATATTATATTATATATGTATATATACGACAGGTATTTACTTTCATCAATGAAGTTGCAAAATTGCTCACTTGTGCACGTCTAGAATTACAGAGGCACATTTCCAGAGCCATTATTCAAGTGATCAGGGTGCTTCGATGCATTTTTCTTAGAAAAATGTACCGTACCTTGCGCATACCATCATTGAATGCGTACACGATCAAACCTCGTTAAATGGTTGGATGTAACATCGTTCTAAGTAATTGTACGATCTTAACATTCTATTTAGTTATTAAGTGTGTTGAACTGGTCGACCACTCTGTTTTATAAAAGAAGCTAGTATAAAAAAAGCTTTTTTTTCTCTTTGTTCTTTCTTGTTCGATAAGCTGATGGGAAAACAGAGGGAAGTGTGTTGGACATAATTGACCGAGCCTTTGTTGCAACGTGACCCTCCCAGAAATCAGAACATTGGCACATAATAATTTTCGTTTCTCCATTATAATTATATCGTTCACTGACATTTTAGGCCCACGATTCAACCAGGGAATTATCCTGAAATCCTGTGCCATTCATCAACCAACACATAACCCTCGAAATTGATAAGAATCTCGTGAAATTGCTATTTTGAATCGTTCAATGTACCATATTGAACTAATAACGTGAATAACCCTTTAAACAATCCCACTTCTTAATTGTTTAACGTCCTAAGAGAAGTGGCTAAGTGTTATAAAGGTGACACTCTATGTAAGATGTAGGCACAAAGCCCTCGATTGGTTGCGATATACGACGAACACGCGTCCAGCCATCCCCTTGATCTAACTCGATCATGTATAACTCTTCACCGTCATACATCGGTATGGAACCTTCGCTAGTTGCTAAAAAAATATATAAATCACTAATTTATACATATTTCCTATAGAAAAAGACGACGATACATCTGCGAAAGTACTCGACGAATGAACGTGGGTATACACACACACATACACGTACCATCGAAAGGATAAAGAGCTCTACACGTTCCCAATGGTGGTTGAGCGTCAATTTCATCGACGTAATATTCTTCTCCACCGCTACCAGGAAGAGACGTCCTCGATTCCCCAAGACCAGATTCCGGGCTATTCGTGGAACTGTGCATCAGTACCGTAAAGCGAAAAGCGTGTCTAATTGGCTAGTTAAAAATTCTAATCTGTATTTATACCAATTCAAAAACTCATCATTATCGCAAACGATTCTTTCGTTTAAGAAGAAACGGAAACCTTTCACGTTAGATCACCTAAGCTACATACATGTCCATAATACAACGATTCGACATTAAACTTGGATATAATCGGAATAATCGTTAATTAAAACTTACCCATGCGTTGGCTGCGGCGTACCAGGAGCACTCTTCTTGTGCATCGGTTGGTTCGCGTTCGCATTGCTCACACTGGAATCAGATGCTGATCTCGAGAGACTCTCCTCGCCTCCTGAATGGCTAGATCTTCTTGAACTGAGCGGTCTCGTTGCGGAACCATTGCTTGTAGGTTTCCGTGGTGCTTGACTGGGACTAGAAATTTTAATTGCACAATTTACCGTCGACCAACTAGATCGTGGAAATATATATTGTGAAATTTCGCAGTATGGTCACCTGGACAAGCTGACGCCAGCTCGCATCGCTTCTTCGAGATAACCTTGGAACTTTGCCAATTCCGCACCAAGTTTATCCAGCTTGTTGCTCGATTGATTCAATTGTCCTTCTATGCTCATTGGATCCCCTAAAGCAGGATTCTGCTCGTTTGTTGTAGTCTCTTCTTTCGTTGATTCGGTGGCAGATCACTGCAATCCTCCTTTGCCCCGTCGCCATATCCGGGCACGTTATTCTGGAATTTTTTCATTTAAATATCGAGATTCTAATTGTCTATCTTAACAAGAAGGTCTAATGGAGTACGATGGAAAATAGAGGAGAAGAAAGCACGCGATCATTATCATAGATATACCAGAGAGTAGAGTTAATCATTATTCTACTTTACAGTAATAAAAGTTAACAAACACAATTTTCAACAACGTTCGCCAATTGTTATATGCGTCACTATATCAATGTCACGAGCATACTTGGGGCTGTACAAACTATCAAAGTAAAATAAAATAAAAAAAAATGTATGTATATATATATATATATATATATAGATGTATATATAAATATATAAATAGACAAAGTATTGTTGTACAGAAATTTTCAAAACAGAGGGACACTGTCAGTAAGGACTGTCATACAAAAAAAAGAAAATAATGGCGACCGTAAAGAAATAGACAGACCTTCAAAGCTATGACCATCTCGATCAACTTCTGTTGTTCGCATGAAACAAATTCCAAAAGCGTATCATTCAGCGAATGAGTCAGAAACGATCTCGCAGGCGGCGTGTAGCGTTGAGTAAAAACTCAGTAAAAGGAAACACCAATTGCATATATTTGTTCTTTCTTTATACGTAGAATACGTTCTCACCCGTTCAATGCTAAAGTGTCTGAGTTTGTACCCGACAAGACACTTGGTGTACTAACAGACACGCGTAATTACTTCTTAATTGTCGATGCACAAGAACAAAATGCTGCTGTTACGTTAACAGTGTGGCAGGCGAACAAGCGATTTGTAGTGTACTTACTAAGTACAACAGTATCCAAATTCATAGTCCACGGATGATTGGAAACAAGAGACCACAGGCAGATCGAACCATCCACCAAATTAATAAAAAGTACAGAAGAAAGATAAGTTATGCTTGCCTCGCGAAAAATCAACGTGATGGTAATGTATATTATCGATCGGAACTGAACTCGAATGAATAAAGAATGTAATGTGTGTGACATGTTCGTTTCCCCCTTTAATGATCGCACAAAAAAAAAAAAATGAAACAAATTTTCTTAACAGTGAATGATGCTAAAGAAAAAAAAAAAGAAAAACAATAGAAAACCAACTCGCTTGAGCAATGTGAATCATGCCTTGAAAAATGTGTATGCATACTACAGGCCTGCTAATTGACAATAATGTAACAATAATTTAAAAAAAAAAGAAAAAAAGAAAAATAGAAAGATAACAGGATGGTTTCGTGCATGTTTTAACTATCTTTTCTTCTTGCTTTCAATATTCTAACACTCTTCAGAGAGACAGAAAAAAAAAAACACGTGGACAAATGCTCATGATTCACAAACATATTTATGAGACAGATAAAAATAACTACGATCGGTGAAATGCTGCGAACAACATTTACCTTATTGCTACTGAATATGCCAAACAGGCCGACCCGTTTCTTCATTTTACCACCAGACACGGTGCCCTTTGCTGTCAGATGATGATTATGTATCGGCTGCATCACTGGCTGCGACAGCTGACTATTGCTGTCGTACGTTTTAGCCACAGACAGATCTTCGAACGGGAAATCTCCCGGTGGCTGGAAGCCACTTTTGTAACGTTCGATTACCAATAATGTATCTTTCTTCTCGTTGATCTCGTTCGCTGCCTTCTCGATACCGTCTAAACATTGAGCGATTATCGGCGCTACTGCTCGTTCTATTTCCACGGATTTCAGCATGTAGTTTCGCATATTCTTTATTCTCTTCTCGTCAAGTTCCTGCAACGAAACGTAACATAGTACGTGAAGATGATATATATATTGGAAATTTTGTGAATTGGCAACCGTTCGAAATTGAAATAAAACAATGAACCTGAAGGTGTTGAAACACTTCTGGCATGGCCGTGTGATAGTGCAGCGTCTGCATATCGTTTGTTTTCTGCAACTGATTCGCGTACTCCGTTTTCGCTTCCTCGCTCTGCTGAGTCTTCAGAGTCATGTTCATCCTCTGCTTCTCCACCTTAAGTAAAAATAAATCGCATAAAGTTCATAGGGTGTCACGTGAACTTTCAATCGATCGACACTCATAGTCGAAAGGTTCGTTTATAGTAAAGTGTGTGTTTCTCGAGGTGAGAATGAAAAAAAAAAAAAACATCTCTCTACTTACTTCCGCTCTTGAAAGATGCAGATCGGCGTCTGCCCTCTGATAATTCTCCACAGCTCTTTCCGCCTCACGGAAGGCTTTCTCGTACGCCTTCCTGGCACGCTCCAAATTCCCAATTTGACCAGTCACGTTCGCCATTAGTCTAGCACCCTCTTGGAGATGCTTCTTGCGATCCTCTTTAAAATCCTTCACCAGTATATTCAATTCTCTCAACACGTTCGCCTGCAGATTCTCCGCGATCACCTCCCTCTGTCCAGCCTGATCGTTCACCTCGTTCAATTCCATCTTGAACGCTCTGCATGGGCTGTATCTGTGATCAGACAAGATTGAACAACGTGTTGACGTATTTTTCGAATTTCACACGTGAATGCGACGCATAACGAGGAACACCGATGATGAGAAAAGAAGAGAGAGAGAGAGAGAGAGCCTGTGGGCGAAAACCGAGCAAGTTACTGAACTTATAAAGCAACCTACCCACGCCCTCAGATAAGAGATTAGTTACTGTTTTCTGTCACGCTACATATGAAATATTACAACACTCCTCGACACGATGAAAATTTTTCTCTCTCCGCGTCCAAGTATCACGCTCTTGTCTAATTATAATTGAAGGGTAGTCACGCGTGTGGAACTCTGTAAAAAAAAAATTGGGAAATCTACTACTCTCTCGGTCTGTTGGATAAATTAATCTCGAACTGTGGAAATGAATAATGAAGAATTAATCTCCACGAGATGAGTAATGAATAACAGATAGAGCAGTATGACGAATATTCTTCAACACATCATTTGTCTTTCACTCGGGAACGTATATGTATAATACCAGTCTATCAAATCGTAATTTACACATAGGATAAGAGAAAAAAGAAAAGAGAAGCAAAAGACGGTGGAACATATTTCGAAATAGTAATTATTTTTCAAGTATTATTCATGTCGAGGAACATTACTACGGAGCGTGGATCCGGTATTACGCCTCTCTGAGAGTTGGCTCACACTTACTGATAATCCTCCTCCTCCTTCTTCTTCGGTTGATAGCTCTTCACGAGACGTCTGCAATCAGAAACGAAACAAGATTACCCGTGCACGTGCAACACGTTCAACCTGCAGTGAACGATCTACAAATAATATATGCCTACTATGGTGAAAGACATTCAACCATGATTTATCCAAAAGTCTCGAAAGAGAAGAAAAAGAAACAAAAAACATCCTTCGTCCTCTTTAAAACAACTCGTCCTTTTTCAGCTGTCTGCGGTCTAAAGTTATTTTCAGACAGTGTCTCTCCTTAGTTGCACCGAGTTGCACGTCGCTCTCATTAGTGGCGACGCGAAAATTGGAACTTCCATAGACAGACAGAAAGAGAGAGAGAGAGAGAGAGAGAGAGAGAGAGAGAACCGTAAAGAAATCTGAATGATGAAATTGACTCGGAACGATCTCATCTCGTTGAGGCTCGTGTTTCACGTAAATCGTTGTGTTTAAACGTTTCTTTCGAATTCCAACACGAGACACAGATTACGTTTAGTCATTCGTGCGGCAACGAGAAATCACTGTCGAGAACCGTCCGTCGAGTCATTGCAATTTCGAGCGTCGGGCCACAAGCCGAGCGATACAATGTGTGCCAGGCTCCTAAATGCATTATCATCCGGAAGTTGACGTGTCCTTGATACCAGATCAACCATACGTTCGTTTACCGTGGCAACGTGCTACGAAACCGGAAAACGTGCGTTCGTGAAAACAGCGATTTCTAAAATACCGAGAATCGACCGACCGCGCCGACGTCGAGCTGTGAACCGCAAGGCAAGACAAGTCCAAGTACGTGCGCCTGTGTCAGAGATTGGAAAAGCTATTTTCGAAGTCCGCTTGAATTCCACTTTCTGGGTCTGGGTTACTCTATCGAAAAAAATCGGGAAACCGAGGCGATTTTTCGACACCCTCTTCGTAGATCTGTAGATCGTTCTTCTGTACACGCTCGACGAAGCGTAAATTTTAATATCGAAGACACTTCGGTGAACTGTAGTATCACTTCCTTCGATTTGAATTGCTAATAAATCTAACTTAAGATTCACTTGGATTTCTCCTTAGTAGGTCTAGGTCTTGGTATAGAAAAAATTGGGAAAGTTATTTCTATGGTGGAGACTAGATCGTTGCTCCGAAGCCTGATAAAGTAGCTCTGAATTTCGATATCGAGGTCTAGGTCGCCGCGTGGAAAAATTGGCGACGCTATTTGAAAGTTGAGGATCGTTTAGACTTCGTTCGCTAATACAGAAAGAAAGAGATTGGAAAAACCGTTTCGAGCATAGTTTTAGATTCATTTTTTTTTCTCTCTTTCTTCTCCTTCTTTTTTTCTAGATCTAGGTTGGATAGCAATATTTCATCGAGCATTGCACCGGCGAACTTCTTAGCCGTGAAACTCGCGAAGAAGAAATGAAACCAGATTTAAAAGAAACAACCGCATTTCCGAGCGAGTTCGGTGGAATGGTATTTAAAATGAAAATCAACGGTGCATCGAGGGAAACTGCCATACGGTGAAACGGTACCTCCGTTTGTACCAGTAACACGAGCATGTATCGCTGAAATTACGGCGCATTAAGGCGCGAGAGAGGAACGTGCCCGTGATAATTTATATGCAGTGGAAGGAACGTGCGCCGCCCGGGGATGGATGTGTGACGAGCACGTGGAATCATTCTTCTAGGCATCTCTGGTGCGCCAACTGATTAAGGGACAACGATAACAGTCCGCCGCGACAATTAAACCACAAGATTCGTAAGAAATCTCTCCTCTCTCTCTCCTGCAGGTATTTCTGCCGCTTCTCAGGCGCTTCCTTCTTCGATTACACGCTGAGATAGTTGGCCAACAAAGGAATACTTAAAATATCGTACGATTCGATCTTCAGATACACCGGGGTTACCGCTTTACCGTGAGCAATCGATATCTCGATTGAATGTATAGTCGATGGAAGAAATATAGTAAGGTCGTAAATTCACTCACCCATTCAGATTTACACGTTTCGAGCACATCGATAAGCGAATCGAGATCAATCTGAGAAGATAAGCGTCTGTGAAATCACAGTCAGTTCTGCATCCAAGTGTTAACTTCGATTTAGTCTGAATGGAGAAAACGTAAAATGTCACACGAGACTTTAGATGTCACTGCTTTAATTTTACGTTCTTACTGTATCTCTTCTTAGGACTATACGGCGAAGGCATATTTCGATTACAGAAGCAGTAGAAGAATATTCTGTCGTCGATTTTTATCGAACAGTTTTCTTTTTTTAATTAAATGCTAACTATCGATGCGAACGGTACAGAGAGTACGCTCTGTTTCGAGACACCCGTTAGGAACAAAAGTGTGCAACAGTAGACGGCATTCACGGAACAAACAAGGGGGCCCTTTAATACAATATTACTGGCTACATCTTGTGTCCGTGAACTCATGGGGTGCGTGAGACACGCTCATTATACAGGATGTCCCATTGAAATCGTTAACCTCGGATACTACGCCCTGTGTCAATTTATGTACAAAAGAGGAGGCGTACTGCCGTGGTTCAACAAAGACGGTCACTCGCGGATGGAAATTCCGCGAGTTCGCGGAAAATCTTACAGGTACGTTTCTTACCTGAGCTTGGCAGCATATTCCACCTCGATGGCGCATCGGTCGCGAATGAAGTGGCCATACCTCTCGAGGAACTCTATCCCTTTTTGCGTGTGCAGGGATAGATTCTCGTACTGGTCCTGTAATAAAAAAAAAAAAAAGATACATAGACAAATTAGATCTCTAAATTTACAAACTTTTTTCTTTTCGGTTCAAGTGTAAGAGAACGTGGTCCGAAGTATTAACAAAATTTGATCTTGGCCAATTTTTATCCGGCTCTTAGGGAAACACTCCGTTCTTCCGAAACTTAAAATACACTCGAAAAGACACGTTGGAAAGGGAAGGCGATGAAAAATGCAAAAGGCAGGAGATTGAATAGCCGGATCGAAGTTTCAATTTCAATTCATCGATTGTTCCCAGGTCTCTCCCCTGTTTACGAAACCACAATAGACGAAACGGCGCGATGCGGGGCTTCTTTAAAATTTCATTGGAGGGTAGAGGGAGGGAAGAAAGGCGTCTGAACGATGGCGCGGTGGTCTCTCCTCATCTGCCGAGAGAGAGAGAGAAAAGTAGCGAAGAAAGGGAGAATTTTTGTTCGCGGAGACACGGGCGAACGGCACGCGTATATATCCATCGCGGTCGACCAACGACTGAGAAAACCTCTTGGCACACATACACACCGGGGGACAATGAAGGGATTTCGCAAGGCTGTGCGCCGCCTTGGCTAGAAAGATTTCTGGCCGTTTAGCGGCTCGCCACGAAAAGTGAAACTGGACTCTGCAAACGGTTGCGGCAATATGCACCTACGAATATACCCAGCCAACCACCATAGCTTTCTTGCCTGTTTTATCGGACTTATGAATCGCGATGGAACGCCGCGGCTGTGTAATACGTGCACTAGGCCGCTCTTTCTTCCGGCGTCGAATTTTCATTCACATTTTGACCGAGCCTCGTGAATGGAGCGTGCTAACGTATCACGTAGACTCTGATCGATCCTCCCGTACCGTACACTACTACCAGAAAGTTCACGGAGCTCTGTGGGGTTTTAAAAGATCGCTTCGTTTTCTGTTTCTTCCTTTTCCTGTGATTTATAATTCGAGTAACGAAATAGGATACCTGTGAGCTCTGTTGGTAATACAGTTTCCAGTGAAAGGGAATAAATGTAACCGATTCTTAGGCGTTAGAAGAATGTTCGCGAAATAAAATTTGTAAGAAGAATTCGCGATAGAGTTACAGCTAGTTGAAATTTGTTCAATCTAACACGATTGTAAAATAATCGAACAAATCGGTTATTCGTGAGAGTAGACTATCTACTATTTCATTCTTGCAACAGAGAGACCTAGAACTGATAAGAAAAAAAACACTATCGCCTGGATACTTTTTGCCCACAGTGTACGTAGCATGATTAATTGGTTATCTGACTCATTCACAAAGTACAAAAGAACGCGTCGTAGTTGAATTTTCATGGAATTTCGTGTCCTATTTAGCAGAATAATTTCTCCACGTGATAATCGAACACGATTAACCTAGGTAGCGCCATAAGCAGTCCAGGTATTCGCATTCCCAAGGTTCTGGGAAGACGGAGGAAACGGCATTCGCCGTAGCAGAGTCACGGAATGGAAGCTTTATCGTTCAAGGACGATCCTGTCTTTCAACATTTACGCTAGTCGCTTTAAGGCTTAAGGACAGACTGAGTTCTCTCTGTTTCAGCCACGTATAAAATACTTGTGATCGTGTGTCGCGGAGAAAAGAGAGTGGAAGAGAGAGACGCGAGAGTCGATCGAGAGTCGCCTATACTCTGGCATTCGAAACGCGTTACTTTCATTTCCAACAAGTAGCCATTCAAGGGCCACACACTGATTGTGAGACGAGTCTCTATATACCTGTGCGCTCCTCTGTATACCTGGCACACTCAATTGTCGGGCTTCTCTTTTGCCCCTTTTTTCCTTTTTTTCAAAGATTCACCTCGAAAGTACACACAGGGTGAACAAACAAAGAAAAAAAGAAGAGAAGAGTGAACGAGACCCCTCCTGACGCATCGATGTCACGATGGCCAGGATATATCCACGTACAGACCCTCTCCGGACGCATTAAAGTAATTAGCTTTTATCGTACGACGTGGTCTGTGGCGGTAAAATATGGAAAACAAAGGTAGAAGCTGCGAGTCATCAAATCATACGCTCCACGCTTAATTAATCGACGTTAATGACCGTTTCCCGTGGCATGTGCCCTAAACATGCCACGATATGCGGTCGTGCCGCTTTTTAATGCGATACCGTGGATCGGATGGAACGAGTTACACGTGAATAAGTGTTTTTCAAGAAAAGAAAAATTGAAAAAAATCGACTTTAACTCTCTGCGATCGTATTTTCCGTAGGCATGGTAATCGTACCGGTTGGAATTACTTTTTGGTAGCGCGCACTCGGTGAATTATTGCCTAAAAGACTTATAAACTTTATTCGAACGAGTTTGTTTAAGCTGTGCGCATATTACTTTTTCTTTCTCCCCGTTTCTGCAGGCAAACGGCATCTACGGAACGTTTAGAAGGTGAAAAGCCTTGTCGGGAAGATCCCAAAGTTCTTAATATACGAGAGATTTGTTAGAAATTGACAGATATGTGTATATAAATAACCGATGAATATTTGAACAAAATTATAAATAAATATCCATTTCACACTATTTCACGTAGGCGATGTCTAGCATCGTTCCCATACGCCCATAGTAAACGAAAGAATTGGCCAAAGTGTAGAATATACAAGCGAATATTATGCCAGTGGCGGATGAAGAGGCGAAGATTTCGCAACATTGATTCCCGTCAACCTCGTTTTGTCGTCGCAAACAGGAATACCAGCTAATCGTACGAAGTATAACATGATACTCGTGATACACACACGCGGTGATACGATACTATACCTGGCTGGATACACGTCTAAATTAGATATCCAAGTGGTACGTCAGACTCGATCACGGATCTACCAATGATTTACAGAGAAAAACAGAATTTTTCCGAATCGGCTACAACATCGTGGTTTTCTCATTGTGATAACTGTATATATGTATACGGCGTCGTGTGGCACTGGGGCAATTTGCAACTAAATAACGGAGAACTGGTAGCGGCAGGTGATAGTGGAACTCCGACTTTCAAACGTACGAAACAGGAAAACCTATCATTTTATCCTTTTCCCACCCGCTCGCTTCTCCTTCCGCCTCCTCTATCCAACGCATTCTGGCGACTAGATTTTATTTTCACGCTGCCCCGGACGTATCGACGGACTAATTATTCGACCACGCTAACTTCAGCCTCGTCGTCTAACAGAGAAATCACGGATATTACGTAAAATCAGCTCGAAGGAAATATCTGACATTCGGAACAGGATATTACGCAGATCGAAATATATGAAAAACGGATAAGAATATTATTAAAAAGTAAAAAGAGAAAAGAAAGAACTTGCTATGTAAAATAGATGCTCGTGTGAGAAGTTGGTAACTACGTAGGAACAACGAGCTGTTATCTAATTCCGTTGCTTAAACGTTATTCCATCGCACCTGTGTTTCGTTAAAGTAGTTCACTGTTAACCACTTGCGTTAATTAGCCAAGTTCGGTTAGCTCGACACGCACGAGGTTGTTTAACTATACCCTGAATTTGAAAATGGATTCGTTTGGACCGTCGTCGGTGTGTAAAATAACCAAACCGAGGAGGCTTTTGTAGATACACCTCTTCGGTTAAATTTACGACTGCTAATAAATCTTTACGACTCTAACGAAATCTCTGACAAATCTCACTGAAACAATATTAAAACAATAAACAGCCGAAGCTTATAGGAAAGCACAGCCAGGCGTAAAAACGCGTCGTAAATGAAAATTCGTTCGATTCGACAGAGAGATATCTAGACAAGCTGATGCTTCGAAAGAGCGTAGAGAGTCTTAAAACCATTTCTCTACGATAGGAAGAGCTTCGTCATCGTTGTTCGATTATCAGAGTCGGTAGGACGCGAATGAAATTATAGCCCATTATCTAGAATCGATTTCCATCTGGCAAATCCCCCCAGTAGACATGGTGTACACGGGGAGAATCGGTGAGTTTCCCCACAGCCAATCCAGCCGTTTTCTGTGCCGCAGGTCGATAGATAGAAAACGCACGCCTCCACCAACACACCGCTTCTGCGTCCACCGCCCTATGACTCACCCTTCAGGCTCGACCTTTTTCAAAGAGGTGCACTTGCAACCGAGACCTAACCTTGCAGGGGCAGCAGACTATTCAGGTCGGTTAGCTCGTCCCCCGGAGATAAGTTCGGCCTTTCCATTATGCACGCGTATGGCAGGTACCTTTGCTGAGATCACCTGCCGCCTCTCTGCGTCTCCTACTTTCTTCTTTCGGCCCGCGTTTCTACCTTTCGAACCTGATCCTCGATATTGGGGACACCTCGGAATGAACTACAAGACGCATTTTTTTAAACCACCTCGTTTCTCTCTGTGTCGCTTCTTTTTATTTTTAATTAACCGTTCTGTGGTTGAAATTTGGTATCTCTCCGCGGGGCGAAGTGTGTCAGAGAACGTTTGTATAAAAATTTTGAATGTATAAAGGAAGTGGATTGAAACTGCTACTTGTGAACCCACTGTGAGTCGTGGAATTCGAAAAATCTTTTCAAGGATCATCCTAATCCTTTGAGAACATACCTGCTTGTCCCGGCGCAACTTTATCCTCTCGGATTTCAAAGACTGTAGCTAGCCGGAATAATGGAGTACGTCCGGCGAAAAAAAGTAGTTATCAAAGCTCGATGAAAAAATTGCGAAACACAAAAGAGGTAGACCCGTAGGAAAGCAAGTTAATAGGAGGAATAACGTGGAAAGTAGCCTTTGATTAACTGAAAATTCCTTTCCTCGGCAATGGATCACGTCGAGAGCACCGAAAATATGCTAGAGCGCCGGCTGAAAACGTTTTCAAGAGCGGGGCGGCGTTAATTAATTCGAGACGAGAGTGCGAGCGGGAAAAGCGTTGTTCCCGAGACGCCGAGAAAAAGACGGGGCGTACTTATACCGTGGAAAATCAATAACCCTACCTCGTTGAATGTATTCACGCGTTAACATTACAAAAGAGAGAGAGAACGAGAAGAGACAGTGCAGTAGCGTAGCAAAATA